GTTCTAACAAAGCAATCTTTATACAAACATTTACTCTCTCACTATGGGCTCAGTCCTAGAGACTGACCTTGTAACAGTTTTATGCTGGTTATAGTTTTCATGCTCTAACTTTTAATACCCTAGGCTGATTGGCAATAATAAAAGTAAAGGTTATATGAATTGTTCTAACAAAGCAATCTTTATACAAACATTTACTCTCTCACTATGGGCTCAGTCCTAGAGACTGACCTTGTAACAGTTTTATGCTGGTTATAGTTTTCATGCTCTAACTTTTAATATACATCTGTCCATGGTTTTCTTAGTAGTTTTCTGAGCCTCTGCAAAGTATTTGCACAAGAAACCCTTTCTTTTCATGGCAGATTCCAAGTGGTTAGGTAAGACATTATTTAGCTCGAAAAATCATATTTTTTAATACCCAAATAGAGCTTAGCTACTAAGCCTGATAAATTATAGTGGAATTCTATGGTATTGGTATAGTAATTTATGATTTTTTGTTATTTTAAAATGCATATATAAAACCTAATAAAATTATTAATAATTGTTTTACACTCTCCACATTGGAAATTTGATAAGGCTTAATGAATTATGACAAGCAGCAAATGAGAACAAAGTTTGTAACTAAAAGAAATAATTGTTTTCTACACTTCTTTATTTACTGTTATATGTTTAAGAAAAATAACTGAAGTTTAAGAACTTATTTGTAAATAGTGACAATGTATATAGATATATAATGTATTATAACCAAAATGTGACTGTATTTTAAAAAATACTGGTCCACTGGAACACTACCAAGACAGGTTACTTTGTAAAGGCCAGTCTTAAATTATTGAATACAGTAATATGAGTACACATGCGTCGCGTCATTCAATCTGTAATATTAGTCATACACTGCTGAAAGGTTAATAAAATAAAAATAATAGATTTGTATATATGTGTAATGTTATAAGCTTTAAGCTATTTAGGCATTTGTGGTTTCGTGTTATAATTTGTAGTAATTCTAGAATGAAAAAAAAGTGTAATTTATAAATAAAATATAAAGTTTTTTTTCTAAAAAAAGTTTGATAATTATCTGGAGATCATAAAGATTTTGCATGTAAAATTTGAAAAGTTTCTGATGCATAAAAGTATTTTTAATCTTAAAATCAAAATTACTTTACATGCTGGATAGTCAACATTCAAAAAAGAAAAATGAATGAGCAAATCATTACTTAAAAAATCTTAAAACTTAAAAAAAAATCTGATATATTGTGTACAAAAAGCCTTTACTAATCATCTGCAAAATACATGAAGATACACTTGTGGGTGTACATAAGCATTTCCAAAAATGGAAAGAGGTGGGAGGGGCTACTGTGTTTGATTCAATGTATGTAGTGATATTTCAGCAAATAGAAAGACAGGAGGTTCTTATTTTATATTCTAGCTTGTCAATATCAA